GCCGCAGCTCGGGCTACATGGAGCACGCGTCCGGCCGCGAGGCCTTCGAGCCGCTCTACATTTACATCAGGTGCGTGGGTGGGTGCGTGGGTGGGTGCGTGCGTGGGTGGGTGGTGCGTGGGTGGTGCGTGGGTGGGTGCGTGGGTGGGTGGGTGCGTGGGTGGGTGGTGGGTGGGTGGGTGGGTGCGTGGGTGCGTGGGTGGTGGGTGGGTGCGTGGGTGAGTGGGTGCGTGGGTGGGTGGGTGGGTGGGTGGGTGGTGGGTGCGTGGTGGGTGGGTGGGTGGGTGCGTGGGTGCGTGGGTGCGTGGGTGCGTGGGTGGGTGGGTGGGTGGGTGTCTGCCTTTGTGGGGATGTCCGTGTGTGTGGGTCTTTCTGAGAGGTGCTCGCTACAGCACTTGCCCCAACAGTCTGTGAAGGCTATACGGGGGATCTGTTTCTTTCTTTGTTTCCCTACGTGTTTCTCTTTTGTGTCGAGTAATTAGCTGTTTGTAGATATGTGGGCATGCCGTTGATACGTTATATCATGTTTCATTTGCTTTCAGATGTAACGATATGCGAAACACGCAAAAATAATGATGATGATGAAGGGGTCTTACTCGTTTTGTCCAGCCACTGGCCGTATCTAAACCTGCCTTGAAAAATCTGTTATTCCCCCACCCCAGACCAGAGAAGCTGGCTTTGGCGAGAAAACTCTGCGAGGATTTACTCCAGACGGTGAGTGGTCGTTCAAGGGGTGCGACATGCACAGCGCTCGGTGTCGATCGCCGGGCTCCGCCTGAATAAGCCGCGATGAAATAACCCAGCGCAATTTGAATCAAAGGTGTAGTCACCTTATTTTTAATTATCATTTGCCATCGGAGAATAGATTTTCCACAACTGCGCGTGCAGTGATTTAATCGCAGCGTGTTCCCGATTGGAATCATCTTTGATTCTACGGATGACATCACGTAGCTTGATACTGGTAGGAACCTCCTGGTTCCACCAGCCCACAGGGGATTATTGTGTCCGTCCGTCGTGCACCCAACAATGTGAGGGGTGGGGCTGGGTGGAGAGGGGAGGGTGGGGCTGGTTGGGGAGGGGGTGGGGAGTGGGGGAGGAGGGGCTGGTCACCCTGTGATGCCCTTATAAAACGCAACGTTTAACCTACTCACGCCGGCTTGTGCCCGCCCTCACAGTCGGGCATATTTGCGGAATACACCACGCCGCCGTTGACCCTGGCCATTGACCGAGCAACCCAACGTTCCTACCAGCTCCCTCCGCAGGAATGTGTTAATTATCATTTGCCATCGGAGTGATTGCAGTGATTTAATCGCAGCGTGTTCCCGATTGGAATCATCTTTGATTCTACGGATGACATCACGTAGCTTGATTTAACTTGAAAGCCACTCTCGTGCTGGTGCAACTGTTCGGGGAAGGAGTCTTTTCTTTCCCTGTGCAGGTCATGGGGTTATATTCCACACAGCAAATGTAGTTGGTCTCCTTATTGTTATAAATGGAAATGCCATACGTGGGTTTCCTCTCACTCATGCCATGAATATCGTGGTTATTTTGCATAGCTTAGAGTTACATTGTACATAGTTCTAGTTTGTTTATTACTTAGTCATCACGTTTATTTTTTAAAAATCTGTTTTTGGTCGATGCACCCCCCTTCTGCAAACCCTCCCTTCCCATGTGACCATTGATAAAAAAAACCCTCCATCGCCTAGGGTGTTTAACCTGAAATAAACTGACTGACCGTACATTATCACGCCGGCCAGTGCAGATTTTTTTTTGCCCCTCGGGACTGCTTCAGCTATCGCAAAGTTAATCGTAACGCCGGTAATTGTCACGATTTGTGGTTACGTTTGGGTACGGAGCCGCAGTCCCGCTTGTCGCTTAGCTAATCGGAACAACTGTCCAATTCCCTTTGGGCTCGGGGAACATTATGCAGAGAGCGTTTTAGCTACAGCTCACGTTTACAAAGATAGCGGATATTTTTTTTACCGTTGTCATTTTGGTGAGCCGGGCCACGCGTGCAAATGAGACCACATTTCCTTGCAGAAGACGTTGACTCGACTTCTTGCTGTGCATCTCACACCTGATGATGATTGCTTGTGTTGCAGTCGAAACGTCGTGAGAATTTTATCCGTTTATTATTTTATTATTTCCCTTCTAACGTGACTTGATTTCACACCTGATGATGATTGCTTGTGTTGCAGTCGAAACGTCGTGAGAATTTGTGTTGTTTTATATTTATATTATTTTATTGTTTCCCTTCTACGTGACTTTACCGAAAGAACCAAGAATATGAATCCCTGCAGTCACGAAAGCTTTAAATCGAAATTCTTTCTGAAGGGTTGCTCTGTTTTTTGTCTGTCTCTGCAGGTTCATGACAAGTACAGTGCTTACCAGAACTCGATGAGCGGTCAGGCAGGTAAGCAGTTCTGTTTGACACGTGATCGCCTTTCGTGACCAATATTCGTAATAAAGGTTTTTGTTTGGGTAGATCGCGTAAATATCAATGTGTCGTTAAACCCGCCAGCACCCCACATAGCCAATTACTTAAACAAAACGTGCTAATTAGTTACTACTTTGGTGAAGTGCTGTCGGGCGGTGGCAGGTTTAACGACACGTGTGTGTGTGTGTGTATATGCGATATAACGCAAAAAAAACCAAGATTACGGGTTCTATCGTTGCTACGGCGGTGTTGGTGAAGGTGGCGCTGCTGGCGATGCTGCACGTGGCCGGTGATCCAGCGGAGGCAGCCAGGGCTGCTCCGTCATATACACAGATTCGTGAAAAACTTGCAAACCCACTGGGCTTTGCCAGGAGATGGTGGCAGTACAGCAAGTGGGTTCAATTCCCCCCAGGGATTGAGTGTCACACCTTCCCCACCTTCCTACATGAGTGGGTTTTCTTTAAGTTGTCCGGTTTTCTCCCACGTGCGTGAACACACGCATGACTGGAGTTGAACAAATATACTCAATATAGGATCACAGAGCTTAGGTAATGGGGTGGGGGGGGGGCGCCAGTTCTGGCTGCCCTTAACGATCGTCCGCGGTTTCTCGCGCCTCTGAAAACTGCGCGCGGCAGCTGCGGTGGTGTCACACGCGAGTGCGGTTTTCTTTTGTACTTCACCGTGAGTAGCCGAGCGCGAGCGGGGGAGGGTCTAGAAGGTGGAGCGCCGCGAGGTTTTGGCGCTCGTGCCGATACTGCCCTCCCAGATCAAACGGCGGTGATCCGAGCTGTTCCGCCCTGAACCCGTGGGCGTGGACGTACTACACTCACCTACAACGCCACCGGATCGTCACTTGCTTTACGGGTTTTGGGCGTGTCGCGATCGACCGGATTTTGTTCCGTTTCTTCGTAGCCACACACAGAGGAGAGGTCAGAGAGAGATGGAGTAGATACGATTCGGAGACTCCACTTTGCAAAATGTGGCCAAATAAGGCTCACGATTATAAACAAAAATTCTGATGACCAATTTTGAAATCGACCTTTGAACAGTTGCGCTGTCGGTAGAACGTTGCGTATCAAGTCAAACGTCAATAATAAAACATGGAGTGATTTATTACTGCCGTAGTGCCTTCCAGGTTACAGACGATGGTGCAGTGTGGCCCGTTTTTAAGAGGACATGTCTCTCGTAGCAGCTGCAGGTGTGCTCGTATTGTAAACAGAGGTCGCAACCGGGTACCCGATACCCGGCTACCCGTACCCAGCCGGGTACGGGTAGCCGTTTGCGACCCTGGTGCGGCCGGGTACAGGTACGCCGTGAGTCACTGGTGCGTAACCGTTTGTCACTCATTTCGGGTAGGGTGCGGGCAGGGAACGGGTACCCGTACCCGGCTGGGTACGGGTACCCATTTGCGACCCTGGTGCGGCCGGGTACGGGTAAGGAATCAAAACCCGTTTGCGACCTCTGATTGTAAATTATCTTTGCCAGAGTTTTAGTGCCTGCCTATTACAGATGTACACACAGAACTGACTCAACATTCTGCATGTTTACCCAGGAAAGCCTCGCTGTGTCCCAAGATTCTGCAGGTTTATCCAAGTAGGCAGGGGGGAACGGTGTTGCCGCTATGTGTCATCCCAATTGAGTGACTTGTAGATCATTTTTCAGCTTTGCAATGTTATGGGCAACACCCGTTAAATATATTCACGGGAGGAAATCAGATAGCTTGGCGGGAGTGACTCATGCAGCCAGCTATGGCTGCAGGGTTTGGTGGTACATGTTGTTTATGTCGTTTATTGTAAAAATTCGGTCACAGTTCCTATGATCACTGTTACATTGCTTTTATGGCTTTATTTTGGTGATTTCGAAAGTTTTTTGGTTTGGCCATGTTTGTTGTAGTACGTAGCTAGACTGATGGCCTTAATCTAAGTTGTCTTGTGGTTGTTGTTTAACTTGCATCCCACTGGGATTTTTGCACACAGCGTTGGTGTACGGTGCTTTTTCTGCAATATTTTGCTGTCTTTTCTTGGATTTTCTGTTTGCACATAGTCACATAGTCACTTTAAGATGTTTTCTTGTTCATTTTCTTGTTTTTTGTTTGTTGTGGTTGCACCAATTCAAGAGCCGAATGGCTCGCAGGCCTATACCAAATAAATGAAACTGATGCAGAACACAGGGATGACGTACCGACTCGTCACACTATCACACTCACTGTGCAGAACATAAAACTCCACATACTCGCGCACACACTCTGTAGAACAGGAGCAGGGTGTACAAACTCCACACACTATCACTCACAATCGGCAGAACAGGGGCAGTAATATACAAAATTCTCAAGACAGATCCCCCGTATGGCCTTAACAGACTCTTGAGGCAAGTGCTGTTAGCGAGCACCTATGAAGGCCAGCACGGCACACGAAGGGGTGGGTGGCCAGCACCAGGTACTCATTTGATGCCGAGTCGACCTAGGGGAGGCCCAGAACCACAGCAGGCAAATACTATGAATGCAGGTTTCTAAATGTGGAGGGAAAAGCCCACAACTAGTTCCGATAATCGTCACTTGTCTTGGTATTGAGCGGGTTCGTAGCACAGCACGCTAACTGCTACACTACCGCACTCCACACACACACTCTGCAGAACAGGGGCAGAATGTACAAACTGCACATTCACACACTCTGCAGAACAGGGGCAGCAACATAGAATCTCCACACAAGAATAAGATTCTAGGCCTTTCTTGTTGCGGGTCGCAAGCATTATCGCTGCGCTGCCATCCAACGCAGCCTCTGTCGGAAGTGTTACAAAAATACAATGTGACAGATCGTCTGCTGCCTTTCACCTCTCCCCGTGTGTCTCCGCTATCGCGCAGGCTACTCGCAGATGAACAACTACGGCAGGATGTCCATGTACCGCCCTGCCATGCAAGCACAGCCGGTTGGAACGGCGTGGCTGGGCCCTGACGGCATGCCGACGCCGTCACCGCAGCCGCCTTCGACGAATGCGCAAGGACTGGCGTACGCACAGTACCCCGCTCCAGCCTCCATGTACCAGCCGCCCGTACAGGTAACTAGCGGTCTCGCTTGTTTCATCGGCAGCAGAAGCCGTGAACGATCAACCTGCTGGATTCTAGATTTGAAGCTTTCGTGACTGCAAGGATTCATATTGTTAGGTTTTTTCGGTGAAGTCACGTAGGTAAAAAATTTAATTTTAATAAAAGTAAAATAAAAATCACGAGGTTTCGGAGGCAACACAAGCCTCCGTCTTCAGGTGGAACCGTTACAGCACGACTGCTGTATCAAGTGAGAGAAATGCCAAGAAAACGGTCCTTGTATATATACTTGTTGAGGGTGGGAGGAGCCAAGGTGGGCCCTGGATATTATTTTTGTGAGGTTCGGTGCGGCTGAAGCACACTGTTAGGAATGAGCCTTTGTTGTGTAAACTAGGTGCTGATGATGTAAAGGTGCGTGTAAAAGGGACTGAGCCTTTTTGTTATGTAGAGGTGGTGCGGCTGAAATCGCTGCCAGGAAATGAGTCTTTGTTGTGTAGAATGGATGTTATCTACCTCGCCTGGTGGTACAGGAGGTGGTAGGTTCGATCCCGACCCCTGACGCCTGCTGCTGTATATTTGGAGTTTGGGTGTTTTCTCCTCGCGTGTTTTTTCTCCGGGTCCTCCGGTTTTGCTCTCCACGTTTAGAAACACGCGTTTTAGAGTATTCGGCTGCTATAAATTTCCACGTGATGAGCCACTCCGATTCGCTATCATTGGTGGCTGTATAGCTCGGTGGGTCTTGGCTGGTAAAATAAAAAAAAACTATTTTTTTATAAATAGGGTTTATATTCTCTGGTTCTTTCGGTAAAGTCACGCACGTAGGTGAAAAAATAAATAAACTAAATCACGACGTTTCGGAGGCAACGCAAGCTTCCGTCATCAGGTGGGGACAACCACAGCAAAAAATGTTTTTACTGTAGTGTGCGCACTACAGTAAAAAATTATTTGCTGCAGCAAATCTGGCTGTGACGGTCGCACCTGATGACGGAGACTTGTGTTGCCTCTGAAACGTCGTGATTTTTTATTTTATTAGTTTTTATTTCATTTTTGTTACCTACGTGACTAAGAGTATATGTTCTCCAATCCCTGTGTTCCAGCAGCAGCAGCCACAGCAGCAGCAGGCGCAGCAGACGCAGCAGCAGCCAGCTGCGACGGTGGCAGCTAGCAAGCGGCGCTTTGTGGAAGAGCTTGACAAGGCCGACCCGTCCAGGCTGCTTGGATACCAGGTAACTAGCCACATCGCGCCACCCGCTCAGTTCTCCACAGCAAGGGCACAGGACTGTCGTCATCATCGTTATTATTATTATTTTGTTACTATTAGTACGACTATGACGCCTGGTTTATCCGGGAAAGCCTCCCTGATTGTCAGTGACGCTTTGTTCAGCAGTGTCCTGCCAAGTTTTTGGTCATTAGCGGTGCGATTCGATTTTTTTTTTTCTTTCAAAATTGGACCGTCACGCCGGCACGCAAATGTTGCCGCTCTCGTGAATGACGTCACGGGGTCTTTAACGTTCTCTGAAGCGAAAGGCACATTATTGTTAGTACGCCAGCGCTGCAGTATTAGCCAGGGCAGCCGCTTCATTTGAACCTCGGTCGTTCTCCCGCTTGGTCGTGTCGCTGCCAAAATAGGCGGGTGGGAGGGGGGAGGGAAGGTAAGAAGACCGTCTCACCTCTGTTCCCATGTGCCGCTTGACGGGAGGTGATGGGCGGTGGATGTGGCTTATAGGGGTGTTCCCTGCCTTTGCAAGGCAGGATGTGTGGGGGAGTGACCTTTTTTTGTTACTTTTTATTTGACTAATCGATGAATTGCCCCGGCTCTTCTCTCCTGCATGGATCGGAAACCCCGCTGTGTGAGTGCATCCTGCGATGTGGGACACGCGGTGTTGCTGCAGTGTGTGGCTCTTGAGTGCGTGTTGCCTGTGCTTGTGCGAATGTGTGGGGGGGGAGCGGTGGCCCAGCGGTTGATGCACTGAGCTACGAAGCCGGCGAGCCGAGTTTGATTCCCTCAAGTTCAACACCAGTGATGATTATCTGAACCGGTCCTGGGCCTCCCCAAGGTCCGATTAGCATGGGTGGCTACGTACGGTGCAAAAGAAGCTCAACATATATACATCCAAATGAGTTCCTGGTGCTATGTGTACCGCGTTGGCAAGATCTTAACTGCCTCGCCTTGTATACACAGGAGGTTGTGGGTTCAATCCCGACCCTGAAGCCTATATATTTGGAGTTTGCGTGTTCTCCCCGTGGTGGCGTGGATTTTTCTCCGGGTCCTCCGGCTTTTCCCTCCACGTTTAGAAACCTGCATTCAGAGTTTTTGCCTGTTGTGGTTCTGGGCCTCCCTTAGGTCGACTCGGCATCAAATGAGTAACCTGGTGCTGGCCACCCACCCTCGTCTGCTGTACCAGCCTTCGTAGGTGCTCGCTAATAGCGCTTGCGCCAACAGTCTGTTAAAGATTATATGGGGGATCTTTATACGACTGAGAGTGTGTTGTGGCGAGGTGGGTGGAGCGGTAGTGTAGTTGTTAGCGCATTGCGTTGTAAATCTGGAGTTGATTGCACAGCTATTATAACAATTATCCAAATCTCTCCTGGGCTTCCCCTAGTTCGACTCAGCCTTAAAAAGGTACGTGGTCTGTTGTGTAAGACATCAACACCGGGGAGACAAAGGCAGCCGGGCGAGGTGTTGTCTACACCGCCCCCCCCCCCCCCCCATCGTGCCAACTTTAATAGGCGCTCACTAACAGCACTTGCTCCTAGAGTCTGTGTCGGCTGTCGGGAGGGTGGGGATATTTTTTGTCTTTGCGGCAGCTGAAATCAACCAGTGCTGCTTCTGTGTTGCCACGATTGTACGCGTGATGTCGCTATCGCTGTCGAGAGTAACAACGACTCTACATTCGGCAATAACACTGCCTTGAAAGTAACAAAAACATATATAAAATATACATGATGAAACAAATAATACGAACGTAAAATAACAAAAGTGGCTTTTGGATTATATTATGATAAGTAAAACCCCATTAGAATTTTTTTTTTAGAAACTTGTGGTCGTCAACACTTGGGGCAAGGGCCTTGCTGCATAGCAAGCGCATAGCACGTGCTCCCAAGAAGGGCCATTGCCTGAAACGTCGCCTGTTACTTACTTTGCCTTTTTAAGGCCAAACGGTTCTAATCCCGCTCCTCCGGTCGGCACGTTTTGCTACGTACGGTCTCACACGGTTGACGAGCGAGTTTATTTGTTGCTTGTGCGCGCCGCTGCTCACGTAGCAGCAGCCGCAGCATCAAGGTCTCCGACGTAATGTGTTTTATCGTCGTAGACGCACTTTCTCCGGTGAGTACGAGTCTCCGTCGCGGGTCTCGCCGCGCTTTTCTCTCCCTGACGAGCGCTGAACGCAGCCGCCTGCAAATAGATTTCACGTTTGGAGGCGGCATCGGTGGTTTGGATTCCATTCGTGTGGGGGGGGGGTGCTCGCTATGTACAGTGCGAAAGAGGTTCAGTATAAAGCACTTACTGCCCATCAAACACTCCCCGTAGACTCTACCCATAGATGAACACTACCCCTCAACTCAACACTACCCATAGACTCAACAATGCCCCTAGACTCAACACTACCCCTCAACTCAACGCTGCCCATAGACTCAACAATGCCCCTAGACTCAACACTACCCAAGACTCAACACTACCCATAGACTCAACACTACCCATAGACTCAACACTACCCAAGACTCAACACTTCCCATAGACTCAACACTACCCATAGACTCAACAATGCCCCTAGACTCAACACTACCCAAGACTCAACACTACCCATAGACTCAACACTACCCATAGACTCAACACTACCCATAGACTCAACACATCACCTACCTCAACAGACTCACACCCATAGACTCCCAACTCACACTACCCATAGACTCAACACTACCCATAGACTCAACACTTCCCATAGACTCAACACTACCCATAGACTCAACACTGCCCATAGACTCAACACTTCCCATAGACTCAACACTGCCCATAGACTCAACACTACCCATAGACTCAACACTACCCATAGACTCACACTACCCATAGACTCAACACTGCCATAGACTCAACACTACCCAGACTCAACACTTCCCATAGACTCAACACTACCCATAGACTCAACACTGCCCATAGACTCAACACTTCCCATAGACTCAACACTGCCCATAGACTCAACGCTGCCCATAGACTCAACACTACCCATAGACTCAACACTGCCCATAGACTCAACACCCATACCCCTCAACTCAACACTACCCATAACTCCACTGACCATAGACTCAACACTACCCATAGACTCAACACTGCCCATAGACTCAACACTTCCCATAGACTCAACACTGCCCATAGACTCAACACTGCCCTAGACTCAACACTGCCCATAGACTCAACACTACCCTCAACTCAGCACTACCCATAGACTCAACAATGCCCCTCAACTCAACTACTCATCAACTCAACACTGCCATAGACTAACACTGCCCCTCACTCAACACTACCCACACTCAACACTGCCCATAGACTAACACTACCCATAGACTCAACACTACCCATAGACTCAACACTGCCCATAGACTCAACACTGCCCATAGACTCAACACTTCCCATAACTCAACACTGCCCATCAACTCAACACTGCCCATAGACTCAACACTACCCGTAGACTCAACACTACCCATAGACTCAACACTGCCCATAGACTCAACACTGCCCACAGACTCAACACTGCCCATAGACTCACACTACCCATAGACTCAACACTGCCCACAGACTCAACACTGCCCATAGACTCAACACTGCCCATAGACTCAACACTGCCCATAGACTCACACTGCCCATAGACTCAACACTGCCCATAGACTCACACTGCCCACAAACTCAACACTGCCCATAGACTCAACACTGCCCATAGACTCAACACTGCCCACAGACTCAACACTGCCCATAAACAGACTCACAC